GAGGGGGGGAGCGGCAGAGGCAGAGGGAGAAGCACACTCCCCACTGAGCAGGGAGTCCGACGTGGGGCTCGATTCCAGGACCCGGAAATCATGACCTGAGCCGAACAAAGGCAGACGCTGCCCTGGCTGAGCCCCCCAGGTGCCCCATGGGAAGGTTTTAAAACCCAACAATAAGGAGTGCCCAGGATCCCAGGGTCCTGGGATCTAGCCCCACGTCGGGCTCCCTGCTTCTCCCTCTCCTCCCCACTCCTGCTCTCTCTCACTATCTCTGTCTCTCTCAAATAAATAAAATATGGAAAAACAAACAAACAAACAAAAAAACGAAACCTTCCCTCAAAGGCCAGGATAGCATCTGTAGCCACGCACCCCACCCCCCAGGGCCTGGGGGCTGGCCCTTCTGCCCCAGCATTTGTACCTGGCAAGCGGGATGGGGATGACGCCCCACAGAGGCCCCGAGCATCTCAGCTATGGGCTGGCCACAACTGCAGCCCGCCCACCCCACCCCACCCCACCCCCGTTCCCCTGGCCTGTCTCCAGTGGAAAATCAGGCGACATCCCATGCCGGGGGCCAGCAGGGGCTTCGTGGGCAAAGCTGGCTGATGCTCTTGTCTTGGAGGAGGGTCACAGCCCCAGCATAGCGGGCAGATGGCTCAGGGCCCCACGAGGTGTTGCTGGGACAGCGTGGGAGAGCGAGGTGTGGAGCGGACCCAGGCCTCACTGCTTCCCCCCGGGGCTTCGTCCCGCCCCGTCCAGCGAGGTGTCAGGCCAACACCCCAGGCCGGGGGTCTTTCATCCCAGCCCTTTGGCCCTGCACCCGGCACCATTTGTTGGGGCGGCTCTGGAGGGGTCACGGTGGATAAGCCAGCCAGGGAAGGCCTCAGGGCCTGCCCTTCTCAGAACAGCAAGTGTGGACGGTGAGGGGAGGCAGGGACCAAATGGGCAGAACACACCACGGGACGGCGACACTGGTGTCCTGTGGCTGAGACCCACCAGGGCCCCCACTCCCCTGACGTGAGCATCTGAGACGCTGGCTGCGCATAGGTGTGCTCTGGGAAGGTGCCAGAAACGGAAACCCTTCTCATTGACATGCTGGCTTTTCCCACCAGGTGGTGGGTTGAGGGGAAGTTTATTTTCTTCTGCTTTTTTTATGCTTTGCTGTTCTCCTAATTTGCTCTAAAGGAGCAAGAAACGGCCCATTACTCTAGAGCATGTCACAGCTTCTGAGCCGAAGCCCCCATCCACCCTGCCCGTGGGGTCAGAAAATCCCAGAACATGGCCTTCCAGGGTCTGGGTACCGGACCGACTTGTCCTCCCGTCCCTTACCCAGGGTGGGGGCTCCAGGGGCTGGCAGGGCCCTGCTTGGAGCCCAAACAGCACTTGCCATCAGGCAGGAGTGAGGTTTCTACGAGCCCTCCCCTTGCTCGCAAGAGTGGAAAGCCCTGACAGCAGGACACTGGCGTGGCCCGGCCCGGTTCCCAGCTGGGAGGTGGGGCCTGCAACTCTCAGCTGCGCCAGGTGCCCACTGGGCAGAGAAAATGGGGCCAGCCTGCAGTGGGGAGCTCAGGTCACAGGCCTGCCTGCTGGTTGAGCCCGGAGCCTCACCCACATTCTCCTAAGAGTGGGTCCCTCCACTGGGCTCCCAGCCTAGGCAGGTTCCTCCTGCCCAGCAGCACCCTGAGGAACATGGGTTCTCGCTCATGCCCCATGCTGTGGTGAGCCCCAGGTGCGGGTCCCATACCACCCTCCTCTCTCCCTCTAGGCAACCAGCAGAACTTAGCCAGTGCTGCTCTCAGCCCTGAGAGGGGCTGGCAGGCCCTGGCGCGGAGCCGCCTCCTGCCCTGCTCATCACGTTCTGTGGCCCTGGCTGGGGCCTGCCTCTCTCCGCTCCCCACACTGGTGTCCCGGCTGCCCACTGGTTGCACACAGCAGACCCCCACAGGCCCACTGACCCGGGCCGCGTATGTGTGGCCTGTGTGCCTGGGGCAGGTAGGTATTCAGGGGAGGTGGGGACCCGGAGCAGGTGGGCATCTAGGAGTGGTGGGCGCCCAGGGGGTGGGAACACAGACAGTTCCAGGGACACAGAGCTCAGGACAGATGCCGTGAGCTTGCCTCTTGCTCAGCTGTGGTTCTGCTGGCCACGACCACCCCTGTGGGTTGGTGTGGCTGTGATTCCTGGGCTCAGAGCTGAGCGCAGACCCGCTCTTGGGCATGGCTCCCCACACCTGGGAACTGGCCCCTCAAAGCCCCCCCAGCTGCCCCCTGCCAAGTCTTAGCCTCAGAGGAATGGACAGCTATCCCAGGCACCTGCCGTACCCTTTCCTCACACACCCAAGAAGCCCAGAGAACCAAACCTGCCGGAGAAGTGACCAAGAGGTCAGGCCTGCCTACCTGCAGGTCCATGGGCCCCACCAGTCCCAGGACCAGCCCCTGCTGGTGGCCCAGCCCCCAGGAGACAATGTCCCACTCGTGGGCTTGTGCCCCTGCCTGAGGCCGTCCCCAGGAAGACGGAGTGCCCTGAGCATGGCAGGCATTGGCTCTGAGCAGCTGTAGGAGCTGTGGGAAGCAGGCAGGCAGATGGACCCCTGGACAGGGAGGCCAGAAGCCTTCCCAGCCCCTCCTGCCCCCAACTCACCTGGCCCCTCCCACCTAGCCGGGCTCTGGGGGTGGAGGCCAACCCTGCCTCAGGCTCCCAGACTGAATGGGGGGTTGCACAGAGACCGGGCCGGACTCACGGGACCCTACCACCCAGCCCCTGTCCAGGGCCTCCTCCGGGACCCCCACTGCTGTCTGCACAGACCCACCAGCATCCCAAAGCTAGGGTTTGTGTGTCCCGCAAGGAGGAGTGGGCATGGTTTGGGTACCACCGGCACACACCCCCGCTCCTGGGGGTCAGTGTGAGGGTCCCGGTGTGGGGCCCTAGCTAGCCGAGGGCTCTGTGACTGTGAGCAAGTGACTCAGCCCCTCAAGAAGGCCCCTTTCTTCAGAACGAAAGGGCAAAGGCTCTACCGCTTTGGTGTCAGGAGGGGGCCCCTGCTGGCCTGGCACCAAGTCCGTGAGCAGGCATGTGCTAGGCCGTGAACCCCAAAGGGCAGGGCCGCAGCCTTGCTCCAGGGGTGGCCGCTGCCCACCCACAGCAGGCAGTCAGGCAAGGCTTGCCGGGCCCCACAGTGGAGATGGACAGAGAGGCGCTGGGTGCTGGTCCTTCCGACAGACGGGGAATGCAGGGCAGAGGGGGTGAGAGTGCAGAACCGGCTTTTCCAGATGGAGGTGGGGGTAGGGCAGGGCCTCCCAGGGCCCTATGGGGTGACAGTGGGCAGCAGCCGTGGGAAAACCAGCACCGATGGTTCCCGAGGGTGGGGCCAGGTCCCTGTGGATGGCACCCGCCGTTTGTCTGCGTGCAGTGACTCAGCTTGAGCTGGCAGCCCCGCCCAGGTGTGCGCACCAGGCCCAGGTCCTGGGTAGCTGGCAGAGTGCTCAGAGAGGATCCCACCCTCCTGCCGATGCTCCATCCCTCTCACACCTACTGGCTCTGACCCCTTGGGGGGCCTGCACAGGGGGAACATGGGCCTCTGTGCTGGGCAGCCCACTGGTGCTCCGCGCCTTCCCCAGCTGGACCTGGAGTGACCACAGGCCAGACGGGCACCCGGGGCTCCGCCCGCACCCTACCCCAGGAAGGTCCCTGGATCTGTGACCAGGAGGCCAGGCGCCCCCCACCCCCACAGACTCCCTGGGTCACAGGCCGGCCCAGGGTCTGGTTGGCAGAGGTGGCCAGGGAGACAGGAGGCCCCCCAGAGAAGCAGGAGGAAGGGTCCTGCCTGGGATCAGCCCGACCCCAGCCCCGCCTAGGCCTCCCAGCCGAGGCCACCCCACCCACCCTGCACTCCCAGGCCCTGGCTCCCGATGCTGGATGTGGAGCCATGAGGCCACAGGTAAAGCAAGCTCACAGTGTTGAAAGGCCCGTGGGAAAAGGGCGTGTGGGGGCAGGGGGGGCACCGCCTCTGACGTGGGCACACCCTGAGGCTCCAGGGGCCCGTGGCTGTCGCCTACCCACCCACCCCCAGGAGCCATGTCATCCAGGGCACTGGCCAGGCTCCTCCAGGTGGGGGCCGAGAGGGATCCCGTGAGTACAGATCACGGCCCCTCCTCCCTGAGGCCTGGGAACCCCCCAGGCCCTGCTCTCGGCTCTGCTTCCTCCTGCAGGTTGCTCTGAGGTCTGGAAGGGCTGTGACCGGTGTGCATGTCTCCATGGGTACCTGTCCCTACCTGCCTGCCAGCCAGGTCTCTAGGGGCCTGGCCCCTCCCGCTCTCCCTCGGGGCCCTCCCCACCTCACCCTGGGAATTCTGGGGTCCCTCACCCTGTCAGGCAGGGCCCATCAGAAAGCAACCCTGGGGCAACTGTGTGGGGAGGGCAGGGCAGGCCCCAGGAGCCCCCACCTCCACCAGGGTCGCCGCCAGTTCAGCAGGGCTGAGCTCAGCCCCTCACCCATGGCATGTCCTAGACAAGGACCCCAACGAGAAGCGCAAGTGGATTCCCTCCTGCTCCCCACAGATGCGGTGCCCAGTGGGCCCAGACACAGGCAGTGTGTCTGTGAAACATGGACAACTGAATGGCTTGGCTCACCCAAGCTGGCTCACCAGCTGAGGGGTCAGCTGTGGGGCTGCTTACCCTGGCCCTTAATGCTGGGCCCTGTGTCCCCCACCATGCTGAGCCAGCCCGGGGCCGCCCAGGCCTGGCTTTGCCCTCAAGACTCTGGGGGTTGGGGAAAACAGCCCAGGTGATAGCAGAGTGCCACAGGGTCTTGGGAGCCAGAAAAGGCTACCCAGGACCCACTGGGACAGAGCAGTCAAGGAGGGCTCCCAGGAGGTGGTGTGCCCTGTCGCGCAGAGACAGGAAGGGATGTGTTGTTTGTGTCTGTGAAACCCCCTAGCCAGGCCCAGAGCTGCAAGGAGCATGAGGCTGTGGGTGGGAGGGTGGAAGGGGCCTCACGGGGCCTCGGCAGCCCCTCTGTCCCCGGGCCTGTAACTGTGACCAGTACCTGAAGGTCTCCAAGGACATGACGTGGCAGCTGTGGCTCAGCAGCCACCAGGAAGGCCCCAGCAGCACAGGGATGTGTGCCCCATGGGGTGGCCACGGGCTCTGTGGGGTCTGTGGACAGTGGCCCAACGACTGGGTACTCCCAGGATGAAAGTACACGTGTGGCCAGGGGCTGGTGGAAAGACAGAGCGCATGACGTGCAAAGGTCGCAGGCCCAGGGGGACAGGAAGCTCCGACACTCCGCACCCCTCTGGGTGGCGCTCCCCACCCCCGTCCCAGAGGCCCTGCGCGGGGGGAGCACGCACCCACGCACACCTGTTCACGCGTGCACACTTGGGCACACATGGGCATCTGCCCGCACACCTCTGCACCACTGGCGCTCGCTAAGCGATCGGAAGGTAGCTGAGCCAGGACAGACAGGAAGGAGGGCAAACCCCAGAGGCCCACCCCCCAGCCTCAGTTTCCGTGTTTGTAAAACTAGAAAGAAAAGGGTGCAGAGCATGCAGAGACTTCGAAGTTACTGGCCAGGGCTGCGAGTGTGCCCGGCCACTCCTAGCATGGCGCCTCCACCCCCTAGAGAGAAGGGCCCCGTGGAGGGGGCACCAGCGGAGCCTGACTGGTGCTCCCTTGGCCCCCAGCCCCTCCTCGGGGGAGGCCAAGCATAGAAGGGTGTCTTGGGACACTCTCTGGGCGGGTCAGCCTGAGGTCTGGGTGCCTCTCCAGGATGCTGACGTCCCTCCTTGCTCTTCCCGCCTCCCTCGGAGGTTTCGGGCCAGAGTGGGGGCCACCCACTCTTCAGGTGAGCCGTCGTGATGGCCTGTGTCCAGCCCCAGCCGCCCTCAGCTCTCCGCAGTGTGGCCTTGAAGCGTTCAAGGCCCAGGAGGGGAGGAGCAGCGTATGCGCGGGGCAGTCCGTGGGAGCGCAGGGCTCCCGTCCCTCTGAGCCACCAGCAGCCCACCCAGAGGCCCCCACTGTCCTGGGGTAGTGGGCAGCACTCCTGCAGGCCCCCTGGTACTTCGGGGCCTCCAGGTAGAGGCTGAGGCCAGACGGGCCGGCAAGCTAGGGAGGCCGGCCAGCTGGAGGACATAGCCTTGCTGGGTTCCAAGGAGGCAGTGGGGCTCGGGTGAGGGGCGCATCCAGTCAGGCCCCCACTGCCGTTGAGCTGGAGCCATCTGGCAGAAGTGTTTGCTGAGCCAAGTAGGAAGGGCAGCAGAACAGGGAGGACCCTTGTCCCACCTGCTCCACAGTCATTGCTGCCTCCTCGGCCGCCCGCGGCCTGGCCGTCTCCGTGGCGTCTCCCACGCTCGTAGTGGGGGTAGGGACCCTCTCACAGGGTCACAGTGTTCACTTCCCGGGTCTCTGCTGGCACCCGGAGCTCCCGCAGGTCCCCAGGGCCCCTGCCCGCCCGCTGGGGTGCGGGCTGTTGTGAAACTCGCCCCCCTGGAGGTGGCTTATCTGCTCATCGCCACAGATGGGATGCCCCCGCCCCCACCAGCCAGTTCTCAGGCCCCCAAGTGCCCTAATTGGCTAATCTCACGCCCAGAGCTTGTTTCCCAAGGACCTTTGAGCCCCAAGAACATTCCAAGGTGTGAGTTCCCATGGGAGGGGACCGGGCTAGCACCAAAGCTCCTCAGCCCCCTGCCCTCTGCCCTTTCTGCTAAGGGTGGGGGAGAGGCTAGGCGCCCGGAGGTGTACTGTGGGCACAGGGGCTGCCGGGCCCCATCCTTAGGACAGTCCCTGATGACCCTGATTGATTAACAGGTGATGAGCCCACCCGAGCGAGGACCTACAGGAGGCAGGTGAGCCCTGGGGCCACCCTGGAGGACACGTGGGGCTCCAGACATGGCCCCAGCCCAAACCAGGGTTCATGTCCTGGCCCAGTAGAGAGGATGGTCCCTGTGCCCTGGGTGAGGGGCAGGACCAGTGGGGAGGGCCGGGGATCCATGGGTTAGATGAGGCAGAGGGTTGGGGGGATGGGGCCACATAGGGAGGAGCCTCCGGAAGGAGTGGGGTGGGGACCAGACACCTGAAGGCTGAGCGCTCAGAGCAATGCTTCCACCTCTCCCGGCTCGACTCGGCCCTGGAGGAGGCCCCCAGGGGCTCCAGCTATGATCTGGCCTGCCACTGGCTGGAGGCGGACGACCTGCAGGCCGGAGCGCACGCCACCCTGGGCCACGGCACCTGGCTGCCGCCAGCAGGGGTCCCAGAGGGCGTGCTGCCGCGGCCCAGCCTGCAGCCCTTCTGCTGCACCGGCTGTGGCAGGGTCTTCTGGGAGGGCTCCCACCTGGGCCGCATCACCACGCATTTCAGCGAGGTCCTGCATGGTGCCTCCAGCCCCTGGGAGCAGAGCTGAGCCCCCGGCCCCCACCCAGCCAGCGGCCCCTCCTGAGGATAGGGCCGCGGGCCTCGCTGGTCTGCATTGCCCCCCGACTCCCTGCACACACCTGGGTGCCCCCCACTGGCGTGCCAGCAGGGTCCCAGCCCCGCACAGCTGCTGGAGTGTGGCGGGGGGGATGCAAGTTTTCCCTCACAGTCAGGATGCTCGGACCCTGAGCCGAGAATCGCCTGACATTCAGGAATGAGGCTGGCGGAAGGTGGGAAGGACACGCCTGGTAGAGGAAATTGCACAAAGGCCCAAGGGTGGGACCCAAGTGGCTCCCTGTCCGCGGGGCTCAGCAGGCTGGGGGGAGGGGCACACGGGCTCCCCCTGCGCTAACTCACTCCACCCCCACTACCCCACCCTGCTGGCCGTCTCAGGCCAAGGGCCAAGCCTCCAGGCCAGGCAGGACGGGACCTTCCTGCCTGCCCCCAAGTAGGTCCCAGCCAGGCTGGCCTCAGGACCCTCCGGGGTCCTCTGGTTCCAGGGAGTAAGCTGGTGGGATCCTGGTGGGGCCGGGCCCGTTAGGCCAGATGGCAGGGTGGCTTCCTGGGGACTGGGCCCCAGCCCTGCCTGGTGCAAGGGCAGGGCAGCCCCCCTCTAGCAAGACATCCATTGTGTACTGGAAGGCCGTGGCCTGGAGGGAAGGCGGCACCTCTGAGTCTCCTGCCCTGGCCCCCTCGCTGGCCAGAGCTTGACCCCACAGGCCTCTCTTCCTCCCCCCACCCCCACCCCCCAGTCAAGGCTGGGTGGCCCCCTCTCATGAAAGAGGGCAGCAGCCGAAGCCACAGGGGAGCCCTGCACACAAGAGCCTTCCCCTCACAACTGCAGGAAGCAGGGGCTTCTCTGCCCACTCAGAGGGAAACTGAGGTGCAGGCGCCCATGGCAGGCACCCCAAGGGCCCACGGGCACTGGTGCCAGGTGGGCGGGGAGAGGAACCTAGACCGCATCTTGCCCTCGCTGCCTCCTCCTGGCTCACCCCCGAGGAATGTGCCCCCCCCACATCCCTTTCCGGTCCTTCCTTTCCTTGAGCGGAAACCAGCTCAGATTGGGCTGAGGAGCCCAGGCGGAAGCCTCGGAAGCCTCGGGACTGCTGGGGCCTGGGAGCTGGGGCGGGGCTGCCGCCTCTGCCAGAGCAGGGTGCACCTGCAGGCCCAGGTGTGGTGGCCTCAGGTACCAGGTGGGCACGGGCCGTGCCTAGCCTGCCTCTGCCCCTGCCCAGGTTGGGGGCCATGCTGAAAGGCCATACGGACATCCTGCCACATTCCCTGTGCTCTCCTTTCCCTGGAAGTGCCCACCGGGCGCCAGGCGCTCAGCCCCCCAGCCACTCTGGGGCCAGCTGGAGCAGGGTGCCCCTGCACAGACGGAGGGAGAGGCTCCGAGGCTCAGAGGACAGGGCCAGGCCTACGCCGCAAACTGGCCTTCCCCACCCTTTGGTCACTCCTGAGCCTGAGGGCCAGGCAGGGCTGCCAAGGTGAGCAGGCAAGCCCCACCAGCGGTGGAGACCCTCTGTGGTTGGGGTGCTGCTTCCAAGAGCCAGACCACCAGCCCAGTCCTAGGAGGCAGCCCTGAGCACGCTCCTCCCCCGGTAGGGTTAGGAGGAAACCACCAGGGGTGCTGGCCCCACTGCCCAACCCAGCTGCTTCCTGGACACTCTGCTCTGACCCCAGGCCCTGATGTTGGTTGCAGCTGGTCCTCAACAGAAAGAGGCCACAGCCAGGGACAAGCGCGGGGAGACAGGAGACCAAGTGTCCTCCTGTCCGTCCGGGCAGGCCCAGCCCCAGCATCCCTCTGCCCTGTGTACCCTCTAGAAGGAGGAGAGGGCAACCAAGTGGGGCCCCTTTCTCAGTGTGTCCCTCCCTCACAGCCACGACTGTACCATCCAGCCTTCCCTCCCACCTCCCCACCCCTCTGCTGCCCAGACCGGCTGTCTCCCTCCAGGGACCCTCTGGGGACCCTCAGAGGCTCAGGAGCTCACTGCCTGCCCAGCCTGGCTCCACGGCAAACCGCTGGTCCTGAGCCATCAGGGGTCAGCCCAAAGAGCCTTCTGAGGCCCCCAGACAGCCTTAGTCCCCTTCCCAGGCCAGGGGTCAGGCACCATGCCCACCGGGTGGGCTGTGGTCCTAGTGCCAGGCCGTGCCCTGAGCGGCCAGCAGGGCAGGCAAGAGCCGAACACTGATTGTCTGCCACAGTTCCTGCCCTGGGCGTCCTTCCTCCGCTCTGGCCGAGGGCTGAGTGTTTGTTATTTGATCTCTATCCTCTCTCGGCCCTTCTACCAGGTGTCTGGGCTGCTGGGAAGAAACACTCTCCTCTTTCCCACGCTCCCCGACACATTTTAATGAATTAGCTGGAAGCCCCGCCCCCCCACTGCCCGCCTGCCTGCTCACCCTCCCTCCCCTGCCTAGTGCCTTTAAGGTGGCCGCGGCCTTGGCCCGGCTCTGGCCAGCCGCCCCTTCTGCGCTGTGCTCCCCAGGCTGCCCCACCCAGATCTTCCCAGCCCGTATCCCAGAATGCTACCCAGGCTGCCCCACCCCTGCCCATGTTGCTCCCCCCTCCCCACTGCTCTGAGCCTGGAAAGGAAGGGGGTCCCCAAAGGAAGAAGGGGACCCCCTGCGACCCCGGCCTCCACCCCACCATGGCCCTGCGGGGTGGCACCCCCTGGGCCAGCACCCTCAGAGCTGATGCGGAGAAGGACGGGGTCCAGCTGCGTAGCCAGGGTTCAGTGCGTCCCCACAGATCCCAGGTCAGGGGTTTCTCCCTCGGAGTCAAGTTTGTGGAGTGACACCACCAAGAGAGCCACAAACACCAGAGGGGGGCTTTCCTGAGCCCCGGGGCAGGGCCTGGCCCATGGCGGGCCTCTCCCCCTCCCTCCAAGGCACTTGGAAATGTCTTCCTTTCGGACTGTTCCTTCAGCAAACATGTAGGAGCCGGTGTTCTGCAAGCCCCTCTTCCCCTCCTGTCCTTGAATGGGGCAACTCCTAGGGTGTGGAGCAGAGCGGCTCAGAACGAAGTGACCCAGCCACAGTGGAGAATTCCATCAGCTCCCCAGGGACAGTGTGACCATCCCCTGAACCCCCCGATGGCAGGCCTGGCTACACCTGTCTGACCCTCACACCGAACCCTGGGTGGGGCAGGAGGCAACCTCCGGCTAGACTCTTACGGCCACTCTGGCCATGCGGATCCAGCTGGGGGACACCCAAACTACCGATTTCATGGCCCGTGGTGGCGGCCGCACGTTCCCACATGGAGCTCACAGGGCCCCTTTGTCTGCCCTCCCTGAAGCCTGCGCCGTGTCAATGGGACTTTTCTCCCAGGCTCTGCTCCCAGGCACAACAGGGTCTCCAAGATGCCCTTCTTCAGGTCAGGGGACCTGAGCCCACCTGGGCTGGGGCCTGTCTTTGAGCCCACTGCCCTCCGGGGACAGCCCTGGGCACGTTCTCAGAGGACCCTGCTGTCCACGCCCAGCCCTGTTCCAGGGAGAAGCAGGGAGGTACGTGCCCGCCTAGCAGGTCACAGCCCTGCACAGGGTTGCATGCTCACCCGCTCGGAGGGTCACTGTCCAGACGGAACTATGGGCCCCAGAAGACAGGGCCTCTGCCCTCCTCCCTGGTGCTCAGGAGATACGGGGAGTGCTGGAGGTGGTCGGGTCCCTGCCCTTGAGGCGTTCACACTCCAGCAGCAACTGTTCCCAGGTCCCCTTACTGGGCCCAGGGACACTTCCTGGTAAGATGAGCAAGACAAGGGAGGGGCTCCTGATACCAGCAGCACCCCCCAAGTCACAACCACAGCTGGACCTAGCACAGGCTCTGCTGAGCCCGGGCTCACCCACCTGCACAGCGGGGAGCTCCTGGTGGGAGCAAGTCTGAGCAGAACAGCTGGACCACTAGCCTCAGGGAGACCAGAGTGAGGGACTCGGGGAGCTCCGGCTGCCAGGAGGACCCCATGACAGTCAGCTACGGCCAGGCCTGAGGGTAGCCGACCAGAGGCAGCCAGCCCTGGGGTGGCCTTATGCAGTTTTATCTGCGGTTTGGCTGTGACTCCTCCAGAGCACAGAGCAAGATGGGGGCACAACCCACATGTGTGTCCAGACACGGGGGAGCACCAGGCAGACACCCACGGGAGCCCATCCTGAAACAAGGCCTAGCAGGGTGGTCTCCCCAGATGAAGCCCGGAGCTGAGCTGGCTTCTGAGGGAGTGCAAGCTCCTGGGTGCTCGCCTGCTGCCCAAGGCCTACCGCTCAGAGAATCATTCCTGCCCAATTTCCAGCCACCGCAGCCCAGCTATAAACTGTAAAATTCTAATGAGGAAATTTGGCCGCAGTATTAGAGCATCAATAAAAAATGGGTTTACAGTTTGGAAATGAGTCATTTCTGGGTTTCCTTTCGTGAGCGGCCCTTGGCGCCTTTCCTGGGCTGCTCACCTGGCCAAGCACCCTGTCCCTAGTCGTGCTGATGGAGGTGGCCCAGCAGAGGGAAGCAGGCCCTGAGGTCCCGCTGACTGACCTCCCCCCCCCCCCGCGACCTTGGAGAAGCGTCCGAGAGGGAGGTGGGGTGGAGGGGGGCAGCCCCTGGCTTCCTCCGGTAGAGACCCTACTTCTCTGTCAGGGCGGGGCTTCAGGGTTTGTCTCCTCAAGCCAATCAGGTTGGGGAGGAAACGCGGGATGACCCAGGCCGTCAGAGGAGCCGCCCGCGTGCGGGAAGGCCCGCGTGGCTGAGGTCACACGCCCGAGCTGTTCGTGGAGTTGGCCCCCGCATTTACCCTGTGTCCTGGGGTCCAGGCTGGGCCAGTCTTGTCGCCGCGCACCCGGCGTGCTAGCGACGCGGAGGGTTTACGGCCGGCGCTCCGGGAGCGCGTAGCGAGACTCGGGTCTCTACCCGGGCCTCCCGGGTCTGAAATGCCCGCGAACCCCCACCATGGGGAGGCCGCCCTCGGGTCCACCTCGAGGCCGCGCTCGGCCAGGAATCCGGCCTGGGTCC